ATGTTATATTCTCAGTTCAGAGGGCCCCCTGCATGTCTTTGCCTAGGGCCCCAAATTTCCTAAATCTGCCCCTGTGTTCAGGGAGGGGAACATTCAGTGCTTTCACAGATGGAAACTTTGTCTTAAAGACACCATGAAACATCTCCTGTCTGATATTTGGGTTATAAAAAGGTAATAAAGACGATTTAGTAGACGACAAACTTCAGCTGTTGCTTTAAATTCACTTAAAGTGTTTTTCTTCTCTTTTCAACTATGAAAAGTTCACTTTTCCTTTAAGTGTGGATGTGTGGAGCGGCTCTGAGCCGTCACTATGCGTCCCCCAACCACAGCGACAGCGCTTAGAAAGCTCTGCAGATGTTCTACTGAACGCCTGATCATTATTCCTGCCTCAGCTTTTTTCCTCATGTACTGTTATAAGATATTTGTGTTTACTTTCCAGCATTATTGGTGTTTTTGTGGATAAAGGAAAGCGAACGAAGATGTTGCAGTCCAGTCAAATAAAATCAAAGTTTCTGGAGAAGATCTGAGAAAAGCAGCTTCTAAGGAAGCTAGCGGCTGTTAGGACTGATGTGTCTTTGGACACGGAGGAACGGCTTTCCTCTGAATTCCTTCTGCTTGGGGCCGTTTGTCCGGCGTCAGCATTTGGCTGCCGTTCCCACCATCAGTCGGCTCCTGTCAGACCTCCCTCCCCGTGCCTCTCTGTCTGCTGCTTGGACTCAGCTGGAAAACCTCCGGAGAATGCCGGGAGACTGCAGGAGTGGCCAAAAGAACGCAGGGCGACGGGGTGTTGGTTGAACCGCCAGGGATGACTTCTAAAACCGTGCAGCAGAGACCTAGATGCGTGAAGTTCAACATCTAACTGCCCGTATGCAGGAATAACTTGAAGCGGACGGAGGTGGGTAAACAGACGCAGAAACATTCCTGCAGAAGATGAGCAAACCTTTGATCCTGCATGAACAATGACTCAGCAGTCTGGGAAGCTGCACATCCGCTGCTGTCCACCTGATCTGTTCATCCAACCGCAGCCGAAGGGAAGGTCGGGATGAACAGTTCTGTTCTGCTTCCGGATTATTCCGACAGCTTTGGTGACGTAATCTAGTTTCAAAGATTTCACAAACAGACCTAAAGCTGAGGTTTCCTGCATCTTCTCTGCTCTGCTGCGCATCAGAGGCCATGATGGCGAACGGAATGTAATGATGACATCAGGTGTGACATGTGGCCATTTTATTCTCCGCTCTCTGTCTCCACTGATGTGAAAAATAAAGGGAAAATCTTAATTATTGGGTTTTTTATAATAATAATAAATAATAATACATTTTA